ATTTTTTTTATTTAACATTAATATTTTATCTTTATTTTAGTGCATAATTCCAACTATAACTGTAATTAAAAACTTATATTTTTAAAAGTGGTTGATGGAGCTCTATTACTACTTATTTGAACCATTACAATGACATTACAATATATTGAGTTTATGACGATATTGTGATCAAAATTATCCATTTTTCTATCTAATTTGTAGGTTAAGACTGTCAATGAGAATTTTGAAGGAAACTTTTCAATTGGAAAACTTCTTCATGTTACGGCAAAAGGTAAATAGTTTAATTAAATTTATTCACAATTAAAACTAGCACTTCAAATACTTACAACATATAACTGGTTTTCTTGTATACAGTACCCATACTAAGCGGGCGAGTAGTTGAAATATCTCCTAGAACTAAAACATCAATCGAAGTTAACATCTGCAAGCGTTGTGTTACTGATGAGAGTCAAGGTAAAATTACAGACGTGTTACTGGTTTTATGCACGGAGAAATCAGCCTGTTATGGCAAAGGTTAGGCACTTCTGAGTTTTACACATAACAAAAACAAATATGTATTATCTCGCCTTATGTTATTAAAATTTAATATAATGTAAAAATGTCTTTATTATTGTTTTATATAAAACCTTTTGTTGTGTTTTCATACAATATCACATAGTTAATTATTATCTTTTTTTCACACCAAATCATTCATTTGATCAAAAGGGAAAAGGAAACGTTATATTTATTCACAATTAAACTACTCGACCTGGGCCATTTCTAGAAATTCTGGATTTGTTCAAGGATATCGTGTCACGCCGCTCAATTGGTTGGATCAATTGAGAGGTGAGAAATCTGGAGGTCAGATTAGACCAATATTATTAAAATGTACTGCATTAAGTGACATATTTCACCCTACATTTTAGGTTCAAAATGGCTCTCGAAGATATCTAAATGCAATCATTCTACCATTTTTTAACTTCCACACATTTGAAATGTAACATACTGCTGTAACATTGACTACTTTCAGCTTCAGAAGGTGATGACGGTAAATACTATGTTGGTGTTAATACAAGGTGCACGGCTGACTATACTGACTACTGCAATGGACCATTGCCCTCTAATACCAACGTCAAGTTAGAGTTTTGTCCAACATTTTTGTTAAACTAGAATTATTATGTAAGGTTTAAAATAATATGAGTTTGGTTCTTCTTCGTTATTAATTGTAGTGCTAGACAGGACGTATGGCTCGTAGACTGATTTCAGTCTGCTTTTCTTTCTATGTTTGCTTTTTTGACATATCAAAGAACCAACCGCAAGGCAGAAGCTGTTTGATTTTGGAGTTTCATTTCATAGATGGGTTGCTGAACCCAGCTGACTATTCAGCTTCATCTGCTGGATGTTCAAATTGGAGACATTTTGCTTTAGATACTATGAACTTTACCACCCGACCACGCCGAGACTTATAGGAATTCATATAATCATAATTGTAGAATAGTGTAACTACGAGTAAAACAAATTAGTGAAACAAAGCAAATCGTTTTCTCGTATGGGTCGCTATTCTATTAAATAATATTATAAACGGGATTTATAATTTTGTATGTTTACAGAAAATACAAATATGTGTAATAATGACCCCATTTGGCTTATTAATCAATCTACTGTCTTATTTGCATTGAAATAAATTCAATTTTTTATTCAATTTATTCAATAATGGTAACAACAGTAGATACGGAGGCCTTTTTTCACATTGGCCGTTTTATAAAAAACATAATAACAGCATTATAATAAACAGCAATGGAGTAGTAAAAATATAACAGTAACATAGCATTCAAAGATTTGTAATAAAGAAATAATATAACATAGTTATAATACAAAATGAGATAGAATGAGAATATAATAGATGAACGAGAAATGTTGCAATGAGTCAGTTATAAAGGTCATTAAATAATTGTTGTTTAGATTTGGATATATTTTCAGATATAGATAGTTTTATTTTATTATTGAGATTGTTTCAAAAAATTAGAACCAGAGTAGGTGAAGCTATGTTTTTGGAAAAGAAAGTTGTATACGGGTTAGGCAAGTTAAGACTAAGATTTAATTTTGTGTTGAAAGAAAATATAAAATGAGATTATGTTGGAGTTAGTTTTGATTGTGCATTTAGTAAACGTCTGTAACTAGATCAATGTCTAGCACTTGGTAAGGTAGATGCAACAGATGAGTTTTCATAATCCATTAGGATGAAAACTAGTGAATCAAAATGTTATGTGTTTTGGTATACGAAAAATATACTACTTGCGACATTGAGATTAATTGTACCTATTGTCTCAAAGTGATCTATAACATAGAGTAAAATACGTTAGATAGTCTTAACAAGCATTTTAGTTTTTAGAAATTGTTAGCCTTGAATTCTTACGACATTGTCATAACACATAGCCCTAATGTCAAAGAATTAATTCTTTAAAACTATTTTTATAGTTATAATGTTAGAAAAGATAAACTACCAAACTTAAATGTAACCATTGCTTGTTTTTTTTCATTTAAACCTACTATACCATACCACTTTTTTAACAGAGTGTATGTAATAGTGTGTAACGTTGCTGGATGTACCGAATCATCATCTAATACAATAAAGACATTGCAAGGTAATTAGACTAAGTATAAATATTAATTAAGATAATATCTTATTCATTTTGAATAGTATTTAAATTTTCGCAACATATTTTTTTTTTAAAACTTATGTAGTTCGAATATTTGGAAACATAATTTATTAGTTGTGATAACTCATATATACAGATTTTCCTACCGTTGCGGCTTTTGTGAATAATTTCTCTTATTAGCGATCCAATTTTGAAATTAAATTTTTATACCAATCGATTTAATGGAATGGAGTGCATTTTCTTGAAGTAAATCAGTAAGTATTTTTTTTTCTTCTAACATTCTTATAACCTTGTTTTACCATATAATTTGTTGCATACTAGAATTTAAAATCGTTTTAGAAGACAAGAAATGCTTTGATAATCTGCTTTGAATGACGAAGTTACTTACTTAGAACTGAAAATCCAATGTTACTATTAACATTACCTATTTTTCAACAGATGTCAACATATATGTTTCCAGAGAATTGTTATCGTTCCAGCTATAGTCTTTATTTTACAAAAGCCATTTAAACTTGTGTAATGTTATTTCTTTTTCTTCTTCTCCGTGCTTAATTTTTAGTGGGGAATTTGAACTTAAGAATTTTTCGAATTTAACAACCATAAGCTTTGCCGACTCGACAACGCCTCCAACACAATTAAGTATACGTGCCAACTGGTTATGCGCCATTGACTCCGATTTCAGCCTGCTTTTCTTTTTGAATTTGCTTTGCCCAACCAAGAACAAACTACAAGGCAGAAGTTGATTGATTTTGGAGTTGTTTCTATTATAAGAGTGGCTGTCGCCGAGTGTTCGGACTTGTGACTTTTCGGTTTAGCAACCATGCTGCAACCATAAGCTTTACCAACTCGACCACGACGGCCCCTGTAATGTAGGTTTATTTTTAATAATTCTTATTTGCGGAGTTTGGTCCCCAATAAAGTGTTTAAGCACCCTTCTTCAACCAATTCACGGCCCGGTCCCGCTGTAGTTTCACCAAAATCTGAAAGTGTTGAGCCCCATTTTCAAACAGTTGACCATCATATGCTAATCATATTATGCCCATTAAATTTAATAATCGACTATCCACGCAGAATTGATCAACTGAGAGATATCAAGAAGCATTTTATCGCTTGCAAAACTAGAAAATCAATACGTGCTGACATATTATCTATTGTATCACCTTCTACCCTCATACTTTCCACTATCTCCTACGCTTCGTTTAATATTTTACTGTCTAACCAAACTATTCCATTAAAAACAAAATAGCGACTAAATCGTAACATACCGACGAAGCGTCATCAGAGCGTAGGAAAGCTCCAGAACTATTTTAACCGGCTATTATATTAAAGGTTAGTTGTGTATTAGCTCGTCTTTTAAACTTTGTGAAATACAATTTTTTATTCAATAAAACTAAATATTTAGCATTCCACAAACTTTTCAGCATATATGTTCACAATCATCTACAAAGCAAAAACTACATGTGTATAACTTTAAATAAATTCATAAAATAACTGTCCTCAACTCTCTACATCCACACCCATACCCGAAAGTAGCAGATACAGATTCTGACAGATTGGTACCCGGAAAATGTTCAGAAGTTTTGAACTTCCATGTTCCGGCATAATGTACGATTCGATTTTTTTTTACTTTCTCGTTTGCGAAGTATTGTAATTGTGCAAAACAAAATTCGAGACTATTACAAATCTGGATGTTTTACACCTCCCTGAGACGGAAAAACATAGTTTTGCAATTTTGTCCGTATGTCTGTGTGTGTATGTGTGTGTGTGTATGTATGTGTGTCTGCGAACACGATAAATTGAGTACCGTTACAGCTAGGTTGATGAAATTTCATATATAAGTATTATATCAAATTTGTGGCTCTGTATTAACTTTTCAGCAATTTCCGGTAAACGGAAGTGAAACTTATTCTACTCTCAATTTTTCAAAAGCCTATAACTTAAGTACTGTTTCTGATAGATAAATGAAATTCACATGAAAGTAAAAGATCTAATTCTCCGAATTCTTTCAATATTTGAGTAATTTTCGTTGACCGGAAGTAGTAATTTATGCGATTTCCGCTTTCCCAAAAAAACGAATATCAATTTATAAAGTACTATTATTCCGCACTATTTTACATATATTGTTTGCCGTTAACATCATGCGCTATTCTTGCAGATGACCAAGTTCACTAAGAAACAATTGCCTTAAAAGTCAACAAAATTTGTGAAAAAGAAGATCATTAGAAACTAAACTTAGTATCAATTTAAGTGTAGGAAAATGTAGTGTTCAACTGTATAAGTATTATCCAACAATTAAAAATACAGAGCTGTTTGCAACACCCTATTTTTAATTTAATAACAAACAAAATTAATAAACAAACCATGTTATGCTCTGCAGTACCTATTGCTTTGGGAACAGATATAGTAAAATTATCAAATCCAACATTCACTACATTAGATTGTGTGGCTAATGATGTTCAGGGCAAAATACAAGATTTGTGGCTGGCTGTATGTGCAGATACTGCTGACTGCTTTTCTTCTAGTATGAACTAAATGATGCAACATGCAACATATGATGATTGCTTGAATTTTGAATTCATACTGTGATATTTTCTTTTTTAATCAGAAAAACTTGGCTAGCATTTATTTGATGAACATTTTATAGGAAAAAGAAAAAGATCTGTCGAAGAACCAATTGTAAACAGTACTTGGTTATCCTCTAAAAAATCTTGGTTTACTATTGGATATCGAACAACACCATTGGATTGGTTGATCCAGTGGCGTAGCGATGAGGGTCGGGGGGAACATATGTACCCGGGCGCAAATCGAAAGTTTGAGGGGTGGGGTGCAAATCGAAAGTTTGAGGAGGGGGGGTGCAAATCGAAAGTTTGAGGGGGGGGGGGGTGCAAATTGAAAGTTTGTCCCGGGCGCCGGGAAGGGTCTCTACGCCACTGGGTTGACCCAACTGAGAGGTATGTTTCGTGTTTTCATCATTTGCAAATTTAACAGACACTGTGATGTATTGGTCTATGATGGTCGCTCAATATTTTCTACCAATGCCACTCTGATGTACATATTTTGTAAAATTAAGATATTTTTAAATTAAGTTTAACAAAAATTGTATTTAAATGTTACTTTTGAAATCTACCAATAGTAGTCAGACTTTTTACGTTATATTTATGTTAACATTGTCGCAAGTGCATAAAATTACATTTATTCCATTAGTTAGGTGTAAATAAATATATTTATAAAAGTGAAATATTTCTGTCAATAATCAATGTTTTTTAAATAGCTTGATTATTTAGTACTTAATGTCTAATAATACCCATCAGCATCCCAAGCAAGTCTGATTGACTTTACCATTGGAAGTGACTCTACTTGTGAAATTGGGGATACAGGTTACTGCAATGGACCTCTGCCTTCTAATACACTATTCAAGTAATATTTCTACTTTAATTGTGTTCATTTTCGAATAATGTTTCCTAAAAGTAATTAGCAAATGATATAAAATAGCCTGAATAAACAAAAATGTTGTTTAGGACAAACCTACATTTCATTCTAAGATTACAAAAAATGCAAGGCTTTAATTAACTTATAATTATTTTACAATCATGTACTTGTGATGGTTAAAATCAAACAATATATTATAGTAGCCTAGATAATACTTCCCTTGAATTATTTATAATTAAAATGTAACATTTTTTAGACATTTTAATACTTCTGTACTGCATGTTTATATTGGGATCTGCATTTATAAAAAAAAAATTAAATTATTTTTTGTCAATTTTATCAACAGAATTCTTGTCATAATCTGTAAGAATGCTGGCTGTGTTCCAGTATCTTCTGAACTTGTTGCAACGAAAGGTATTTGTAAATTTAGAAGCACTTTGCTTTATATCTATATCTGTTGAAAATAAGGTCCTGAGTGGTGTTTTGTTTTAAAAAGGATAAGTGTGTTAATTTTTTTTGTGACAAGTAGGCCTACTGAGAGCTAAAATTCTTGTTCAATGAGGGTTTTGGAATTTTTATTTTCAATAACTCTTTGTAAAAGAAGGTTTTTGATTGAAATTTCATAGTTTTGTCTTTAAAGTTGAGAGTATTTTAACTGTTATCCTGAGGTGAAGAGGCAAACTACACAGCACTAGCCATTGGTTTAGGAATTGGACTTCCTTGTATTATTATTTTAATCATTGTTGCTGTTATGTGTATAAAACTACGCCTCAGAAATAAGAAGTTAGAATCTATGAGGAGACAAGAACCTCTCTACAACACACCAAGCAGAACTTTTCAAGATTACCATCTTTATGGTGTTGCTAATGGTATGTTTGTAAAACTGCTTGGACTTTGGAAATATTATTGATTTTCTTTTTTAAGTTCTAGACGATACCAAAACTATTCATTTAGAAGCTTACAAAAGGTGAATGTTGTCAAAGGCAATCCATTAAAGCTAGATAATGTGGTCATTTACAATATGTGCAACGTATGGACATACTAGAAATGTGTCTAAAAGAAGACATTATTTAAAAATGAAGCACATTTAACTTAAAGGGAATTGTCTATGTTTCTTGATAAACATGTTTTCAACAAACTGTTGAAAAATTGAATGTTTGAATTGGTAGGTAACTGAAAAAAATGTATAACTCTACAAAATATATTAATTTAAAATCTTAAAATGACCTTTTCTGTTGTAAAACAGATAACATGACTCCAGTTGTCAGTGAACCAGAAGAAGTCAGCCAGTTAGCAAGAAATGAAGATGTCTATCAAGAAATACCTGACTACAATAACTTTCCTGATGAAAGATTTCAAATTTATCAAAATATTGAAACTGCAGTTGAAAGAAGTTAATGGACAACAATTGAAAAGCAATATTCACGACTAGGACATGATATTCAATTGCATATAGTTTTAAATAATGATGGATGGTATAGATAGGTAGGGACTACTGTAGTCTCTGGTGAAATCTGCCAAAAATAAAAAGTACTATTCATTTTAATTTTTATATTAGTTAATAACATGGTATGACTTTAATTTTACTATTTTTGTAATTAATTAGAAAGGAGAAAAATGAATTCAGATATTAAAATGATTTCTTAAAAATTGTATATTATCACTATAGCCTACTCCTTAAACTAGTCTAAAACATTTTAAAAGTACAAAAAAACGAGAGCCTATTAAAATTAGAAAGAGATTATTGTGTATACACACAGGGTTGCCAGGTGTCCAGTTTTGAACTGGACAAACCAGTATTTGAGCAGACTGTCCAGGATAAAATAAATATAAATACTGGACAAGTATATGAATAATACTCTGTTAACCCCCTTCTTCTGCTTTGCGGCATACCTGAGAAGGGAAGGATGGAAAGGTGTCCAGTATTTTCGGAAAAGGTATCTGGCAACCCTATATACACATAACTGTTCAACCAAGTGAATTGACCTAACTATAAATAAAACTTGACTTCTCTATTTTTATTTTATTATCTCCTGTGATATTCAAACCATCTTGATATTCTAAAATTAGACTCATTTTTATGACCCTCGCAGCGTTTACTTTCAAACCATAAAAATGAAAGTTGACTTTTTGTTGATTTCTAAAATATGAACATTTATTTATACTTTTTAAAAATGAATACATTTCTGTATTTTTTATCAAAGGCATTTAATTATTTGAAACAATTAGATTAATATTTGAATGTGTGTCTTTTTTGTAAACGAAAATAAAATCAATAGCAACACCCTTTTGAACTTTAAACTGTCTCCCTGGTTACAGCTCATTTTTAACTGTTTTTTTTTTAATTACTTGGGGTCTGAGATGGTGAATCAGGAAAGTAAAGGGGGTGGCTACTAATTGACATTGGCATAGTAGGGGCTAAGGGTCTAATGTATTACCGTAAGTAGTGGCGTAGCGAGGTCGGGTGTCACCCGGTGCGGCACTTAATGGTGTCACCCCCCAGAGGCGTAGCGACCCTTCCCGGGGACAAACTTTCAAATTTTCGATTTGCACCCCCCCCCTCAAACTTTTGATGTGCACCCCCCTCAATTTTTTCTCATTATATTTTGCTATTTTTTGCCTTGGTGTCACCCCCTAAATGATGTCACCCGGTGCGGTCCGGATCCCCCCCGCCGCCCCCCCCCCCCCTCGCTATAAGCCTCTGACCCTAAGTGATAAACTCCTCGAAATGCATATTCTACATGGTAAGGGGTCATCCATAAATGACGTCACGCTTTTTAGGACGATTTTTACATCCCCCCTCCCCTTCGGTCACACGTCGTCACAAAAAGCCAGACCCCCCCCCCCTAAAATGATGACACGCCTCAGCCTACAACCCCACCCCCCCCCCCCTTCAAAATTGCTGTTAAAATTTTCTTAAAACATCGATATTTTTCCATAATCTTGTCAGAACTCCGTCCACATAGAGTATTTTGATCAATTCCTTTTACAATTTATTATACCCGTTTTCTAAAACGCGAAATAACGGCTAAAACTCTTTTTTTTTCTAACCATCTGAACCTCTCCCTCATCACAAGCCGTCAAAAAATAACTGACACCCCCCCCCCCCTTCCCCCCTACGAGTGTGACGTCATGAATGGACAAACCCTAATACCAAAAATAAAGACTGCTATTATATTGAATGTCTAAACATTATACTAAAGCCTCTATACAGGGATGGACTGGTCCGCCGGCAGTAGCGTAGCGAGGGGGGGGGGGGCGGGGGGGGGGACATATGTCCCCGGGCGCCGACCTTAGGGGGCGCCAAAATGGGTTGGAAAAATAAATTGAAAGGTTGAGGGGTGCAAATCGGAAGTTTGAAGGGGTGGGGTGCAAATTGAAAACTCGAGGGGGGTGCAAATCGAAAAGTTTGTCCCCGGGCGCCGGGAAGGGTCGCTACGCCTCTGTCCGCCGGTCCACCAGGAATAACCCGGTGGGCCTCCAGAAAGGGCTGAGTAATAGTCCTATTAGTGCTTTGATTTTTAAAAGAAATAATATCGAGATATTTCTCCTTTCTACCATTTCCATTACTTCATACTGAGGCGTACAATTTAGACTTTGATAGAGAAGATATGCACAATAAGGTTTTCAATCTTGGACAAAGCCAGTCTATGCATGCCTCTATAATACTTTTGTTTTCTGAACCTATTTCAAAATATGTATGGGTTTATCCTTCTAACTTTACCTGTGGACTTAAAGACTAAGGCACGGGTTCCCAACCTGGGGGTCGCGACCCCCCTGGGGGTCGCGAAGGTCTTTCTGGGGGGTCGCCAACTAGTATACTAAACTTTAGTAATTTGAAACAAAACATAAATATTTAGAAGAATTTTTTAAAATTCGGCTTCATTAACATCACTGGAAATGTAATAGAGAAGAAACAAAGCGCACTGTACAAAGTTGTTCTCAGTCACGAAGCTATGAAATCTTCAAAATTAAACACCATTTGAGACGAGTCATTCGGAACACATCAAAAAATATATGGAGTTTTTTCGTCAGTAAGAAGCTAGTTGCAAACGCCAGAGACTTGATCAAACAGGAAGTTTTCACCAGCATTAGTGCAAGCATCAAATGAAGTCGCGATTAAAAAATGCCAAGCAAACAAAAACAAGTTAATAAAAAGTTTAGTGACAATTTAAGCGCAATTTCATTATGTTATCCATAACAATTTTAAATCGAGATAAATCATATATTCAGCAAATAAATAATGCAACACAAGTAGTTTTAATAATTCAAAACAAAACAGAAAAATATTTATTAACGAGATTTTAAAAAAAAATTGCGGACGTGTAGTGGGTATTTAGTTGTCGCGCTCTCTATATTGCTGTATTGTACTGTAGTGTATTATGTATAATGTAATTTTTAAAAACATTTTGTGACCGAACGAAAGGATATTTTTGAAAACGGTCTTCGGCAATATTGTTCTAAATTATGACAGGAATCGATTGGTAAATGTTTCAAGTCGTTAAATGGTCTGGTTGCCGAGATATGGTCCAAAAACTGCATTTTTCCGAGGTTTTTTTTCCCGGGAAATCCAGGAAGGAATTCCGGGATTTTTTTTAGCCCACAATCATCCTCGGAACTTGCTTAACATATTTGCTTTTTGAACTAGTCCTCGATATTGCTTCGTTGAGGAGGAGATATGACTTAAAACTGCGGTAAAGCTGCGGACACACATCCAGAAATGACGAATTAATAATCGCAATTCCAGTATGGAAATTGCGCTAAAAACAATAGGAGAAAACTAATCAAACGCTTCATCTACGTAAATGTTAATAACACATTTTTATCGAAATTAAGCTTTCACCATTGTTTGCTTTTCAAGTTGATAAATCAACAGACGTGAGTTCGTGTTCGCAGTTGCTGGTCTGTGTCTATATTCATGCGGATGATAGCAAAGAAGAGTTGCACTTTTGTGAAGATAGCATGGAGAAAATAAATACCTTTTTTGAAACTGGATGATTAAAATGGGTTAGAACGGCTGTTGGGGTTTGTACGGATGGTGCGCAATATATGTTTAGCTCTAAATCGGGCTTTAAGAAAACAGAAAAGATTTAGCTCCCTAACCACTGCCCTAACCAATCGACATCAAGAGTCCATTGTTAGTATAAGTCGTAAATTATATAAAATCTGGAGCCTTCAAAGAACTGAGCAAAAACATTAATATAGATCACGAGGTTCTGCTCTTCTACACTACAGTACGCTGGCTGTCAAACGAAATGTTGTAAATTGTGTTTTTAAATTGAAATCGGAAATCAAATTGTTTTTGGAAGTGCAAAGGAAACAAGACTTTTTGGTATACTTAAAACGACATAGAGTGGTTGGATAGAGTATCATATCTAGCAGATGTGTTCGAGCATCAAGATAAGCTTAACCTGAAGCTTCAGGGAAAATGAACGAATATTATAACTTGCCATGATAATCTCGGGGCATTTTTATCAAAGCTGCAAAATCGGTAAAGAAAATAAATCTTGGAAATATTGTAAATTTGAGAAAATCTGCGGTGTGGTAGATGAATCTGATTGTGAGATAATTAAAATTTTGAAAGAAGCGATTTCTGGGCATCTTGAATCTCTTGAAAACGAACTGCATCGCTATTTCCCTGAGCTGAAAAAAGAAACATCTGCATTTACGCATTACCCATTCTCTTCTTCCCTTGATGTTGCCAGCATAACCGATGAATTACAAGATGAATTCTTTGATTTGCAGAATGATTCCGAGTAAGATGAAAAACTGCAGACACAATTTTGATGTAGTATTCACCATTCATACATACCCAAACGTAAAATTGATTGACTTTTCAAGAATATATTTTCCACAGTATTCTTCGATTAAAAACAAAATTAAGATAATTATAATGACATAGGTTGGCGTTAACAATTTTTTTTTTAAATTAAAAACTTAACCACGAAGGTTTAGTGAATAGTATTCAATTTTACTCATGCTATTAAAATAGTTATCAAGAGTAGTTCATATTGAAAGTCTACTAGAAAATCTTATTTTAGTGCTTATTAATTTCCATACTAATTTCGGATTTTTAATTCTATGGGGGTCGCGGGTCACTTACTTTTTATAAAAGGGGGTCGCGACTCGAAAAAGGTTGGGAACCACTGGACTAAGGCGACCAAACACAAATAGATACCAATTTATGAAAGTTGATTTTACTGTAAATTTTTATGATAAAGCAATAAGGACAGTGTTTAATCAGTTTTTCTTCCAATAAAAATGTAAAATGGCAAATTTTTCTAATTATGTACTATTATAATATGTTTATTACTAAGCATGTATGGTGATTATAACAATAAGATACAGAATATAATACACTCATACAAGCGCAAATTAATATTTATATTCGCCTTTAATATTTTACATCGTCGAAAAAGTATTTGAAAACTATTAACTCGTTGCTTATTTAACACAGATTAAATACCGCTCATTGAAAACATTTCGAAATGAGTAATATATTTTTTTTAAAATTAGCTGTTTTGTAAATATCGGTGGCGAATAGCTCTATGAGTATGAATAGTTTATTAATATCTTGGATTATTGCCTCGTTAAATTACTTTTATTTATCTCTTTCTCTCTCTCGCTCTCTCTCTCTCTCTAAATATATATATATATATATATATATATATATATATATATATATATATATATATATATATATATATATATATATATATATATATATATATATATATATATATATATATATATATATATATATATATATATATATATATATATATATATATATATATATATGGGCCCACAAAAATGTTTAGCCCGAAGCCCCGCCCAAGCTTAATCCGTCCATCTCGTGAGAGGTCTATATAATAGTGGAACAACAGGCTGATTATAAATAACTTCCGAAACGTGAGCTGACTCGTATATTAATATTAATCCCTGAAATCCACAAGGCTAATTTTAACATCTCTTCCCTGCTATTTTTAAATCGTCTGAACATTCCGCGCTATCGCATCGGTGTATTCACTTAATATTAGTTACACTATTTTATTGTAAACTTTAGGTCACGTCTTCTAATTTACACAGCCATCACTAGGGTGAGTAAATACAAGACGTATACTGGCTGCTTCCTGGTTCAATGGGTACTACACACAACCATCGTTAGGGAAAACCCGCAACTATAGATAACAAGTGCAGCAAAATGGACTCAGCATCTATTTAGTCAATCTTATGCGGGCCCTCTGTACAAGTTCATTTGATCAAATACTCGC